TGTCTATCCAGATCACACATTACCCTCTGTCAAAGCTACACAGTGCAAAGTGCAGCAGAAATAAATAAGTTAAAGCTCCTTCACAACACTAGCTCACACTGACAAGGAATACATCCCACCCATAAGAGCCTATGTGGAACATATGAAACTCAAACATTAGCTGGCTACTGAAATACTATAACTCAACATTAATTTAACGTTATATGGTGGTATAGCTGAATTAGTGTTAGCCAAACTTAGGTCTTGAAGAAATCCTTCTGAATATAAACTTGAATATGTATAATGTCTATCCATTATGTTTTTCCAAAGACCCCTGCCCTGTGAACTACTGCACATGGCCTAGTTACACCACCTTCTTTATAAAACCTTCTCCCACCCTCTTTACTGGAGCAACACAGCTTGTCTGCAGTCCAAATATTGAGAAACAGTGTTACAAATAGACTCTCCATTCCTGTTGATAACAAGTAAAATATAAACCCTAATTCAATATGTTTGAAAAACAACATGGCACATACCTATGCAGTTGCTGACGTTACAAGATGTGGTGGAAAGAAGAAAACACAGAGAAAAAACACGCCAAGACAAAAACGATTAAATGATTAAATCATTTTGTATAAAAGGAATCTTTATTTACAGTTTGCCAGCAGATGGAGGTTGCAGCAGTTCTTACGTGTCACAGTCTTTAGTCGGTAGTCCATCTCCTTAGAGAAAACACTTTGTAACTACCAGAATAAAAAAACTAAATATGTTTTCTTCAGCCGCCATGTGTTCTGTCTGTGAGTTGCTCTCTGTGATGGTCATGTGCTCCAGACTCGGAAACATTAATGTTTTCAGTATGCAGCTCAGCATGACTTTAAAGGTTGACTGTGGCACTGGAAGAACCGGGGTGAGTGGCTGAGCAGAGTTTGGTTCTAGAAGGCCAGTTTCTTCATGAGTAGGTAGACCCTGGAGTCCACCTCAAAGCCATGAAGGTTGTTGGCGTCTCCCTGCAGCCTCATGAGGAGGCCGCCGTAAGACACGTAGGCAGAGCTGGGAGAAGGAGCACATCCATGCAACTTGATTAAAGCCAACAAATGAGGGAGCTTCCAAAAGTTTGTAAAACACTGATGACAGTTTGATAATGACATCTCATTATCTCTCACACACACTCTCTCTCTCTCACACACACACAGACTTTTGTTGAGCAAGTCAATGACTTTCCATCAATGCCATACACAATTGTTGGTGATAATTTGCTGACAATGGTGTACTGATGATTTACACTTACAAGCAACCAACAGTGTGTGTTCGTCAGCCATTTATTTTGTTACTGTGGTAATTACTGTCCTAATAATGTATTAATAACAACTAAAATGCTACTTGTAATTATTCTAATGGTTTATTTGGCTATGTTGTTTTATTAACATATAAAGGGTTAGGCAGAGCAATTAAAAATCAATCAATCAATCTAAATCAATCAAGTACACTCACAGTCGTGTTGCTGCTTCTGTTGAAGTCTCATCGCCCTCAATCTTGTAAACCTTCCCATACATCACATAATCAAACTGGTCAGCTCTGGAAATACAAACAAGGTTAAATTAGAGAGAGAAAAAAGGAGCAGAAAGTACAGGGGACAGTCACACATACAAACACACACAAATGGTATTTAATCCTTAAAATAAAAAAAGACCACCAAATTAGGATTGTATGATATATATTGGGCCAATATACTGCTGCTTGTTAAAGGGAAATTAGATATTGAAATTATAGCCTCTACATTATCAGTCCATAATACCACTACTAATAACAACAACAATAATAATAAACTATTTTGAATTCTTATGCAAAATGTTTGATAGGCTTTACGTTATATGAAAGCCAAAATATGTTTGTGAAGTTTTTAAATAGCATTTGTCACCAACGTTAAATGCATCAATATATGAAGACAAACTGTCATACCTAGATGGCCGGTCATCCTGAGGATTGTACTCTCCGTCATCTGGTGTTCCATCTTCATATAACGTGCTGGCAATAACCAGTCTGAACTTGTCACCTTAATAAAATGGACAAATGCAGATAAAGTGGGTTTAGTAATAGTACAAGTGAGTGTACCCATGTGACCAACTTTTCAAAAAGTAGAGCAATTGCTTTATCGAGAGGTGCACTGATAACACGTACATGACCATACTGTATACAAGCTGATTTGAGAATACGATCGTGACAAAAGCAACCATTAAATGACTGAAAGTCTGTAACTTAAAATACATATACACAAAGACTAAATGGTTGCTCCTTACCAAGATCAACAGGATAGATCTGAATGTTCACATCCAAGATGAGGTCCATCTTAAAAGATTCACTTTCGCAATGTAGACGAGACACTGTAGCAAATAACAAGTAACATTGTACAGTTTGGATTAGCTCAAAATGAATGAATGAAAACAACACAGGATTCATGATAGAAATCAAATGTAAATAAAGAGATGCAAAAGAGAGAAAAACATCTGAGTGTTTAGCCTGAGAGCTGCTAGACTTTATGATATTAAGATCATGTGATATTTATTTAAAAATGAAGTGATGGTTGATTACCTGCAGAAATGACCAGGATAGTAGTAAAGACCAGAGACTATTACAACATACAAGCATTTGGCTATTGGCTGGTGTTTCCACCGTAAACCGTTTCACGCACCTCTGTCAAACTTCTTGCCATCGGGATCGATGTCCTTTACATCAAAAATATCTTCAAACAGAATTCCAGCCATCTCTGTTCTGGTCTATAAACTT